TATTTCAAACTTGCAAGTTGAGTTAAAAGTTATGGTAATAAATTCATTTTTTTTTTATTAAAACTTTCACTTTAAAGAACAAAAAAAAGTAGGTTAAAAATTATTACTTTTAACTTATTAAAAATCAATAATAATTTGAAAACAATTAATCAAAATTACAATACTAAATTATTAAAAATCAATTTCATACTATATTTAATTTCTATAATAAATATTTATACATTAATTACTTTTATAAATCATAAAACTTGTAATCAGGATATAAATAAGGAAATAGAAGATCATGTTGATTTGGAATAATCAACCAATTTCTTAGAATTAAACACTATCTACTGATTTGCATAGAAGCGTTTCTTATGATAGTGATTTTAATCACTGTCAGATTAAATCTATACTGGACCCAACTATGCAACATCCCCACTATGCCGCGNATCCACGTCCCCACTGTGCTGGGTTTTTTTAAGTATGAAACTATTTACTCTGTAATTTTTACTAAATTAAAAATAAATTTGTCTATATATACGATACATATATATATATACATATATACGATCATACCTTATACATTTATATAAAACGTTTTGAAAATATAATGACTGATGAATCCCAAAGAAATGAGTTCACCTGCCTTCGTNTGAAATCTACATTTTACTATGAATACATTTTGTCTTATTCTTAAAGTGTATCATGCAAAAACTACTTTTTTAAATTATTTGTAATGTAATACTTTATAATATAAAGTATCAGAGCATATAATATAAGAGATGTACAGCACGGATCGATTAACTAGATAGACAGCGAACAACGACTAAATCTTAAACATATATACCATCATACCTTATACATTTATATAAAACGTTTTGAAAATATAATGACTGATGAATCCCAAAGAAATGAGTTCACCTGCCTTCGTCTTAAAGTTGTACGTCAGTTACTTTGCCATCATTATGTTCACTTACTTATCAGTTGTTGCTGCTATGATACTATAGTCTACAAAAATAGCTATAATCAATTATTGTTCATTTTTATTACTTGCAAACACATAAATATTTATCTTTGTTGCTTTTAGCCAATGTTTAACAACAAATTTTTAATTTTTGATCCCAGCATAAGGTTTTTTGTATCAATCCATAAAATCTTCGTTATATTTGTAAACTTGTTTAGTTTCATTTCATATCCTTTTGGTTTGTTCATATAAATATCCTTTCCAAGATCACTATATAAAAAGGCTGTTTTATTATTAAATTTTCTAACTTTAATTTTCTGGCTGTTGCTATTGTTAGTAATACTTGTATAGAGTCATACTTTAAATGGAATGGACAATTACATATGAAAAAGATATAAAACTAGAAAANGATGGACAATTGCATATGAAAAAGATATAAAACTAGAAAATTTGAAAGAAACAATGGATGCAGATATGTGGCCATTAAAAAATAATGAAACGTGGAAATTAGTAGATTTAACAACAAATAAAAAAACTCTTAAAATGGCTAGGTATATAAAATAAAACTTAAGAAAAATGGAGAGGTTGATATGTTTAAAGCCAGACTAGTAATAAAAGACTATTTATACGTGTATGGAATTGACATTAAGAAACTTTTAGTTCAGTTGTATAGTGTAACTGTATACTAGCAATAGCAGTGCCAGGAAATTAAAATGTAAACGATTTGATATTAAAACAGCTTTATTATGTGTTAATTTTGAATAGAAGATTTGTATGAACCAGTCAAAAGGATAAGAATATGAAACTAAACAAGTTTGAAACATCAACGAAGCTTGTATGGATNAATGGACAATTACATATGAAAAAGATATAAAACTAGAAAATTTTAAAGAAACAATGGATGCAGTGCCAGGAAATTAAAATGTAAACGATTTGATATTAAAACAGCTTTATTATATGTTAATTTTCAATAGAAGATTTGTATGAACCAGTCAAAAGGATAAGAATATGAAACTAAACAAGTTTGAAACATCAACGAAGCTTGTATGGATATTTGTTGAACTTCAGAGTATTTATCAAATTTTGANATATTTGTTGAACTTCAGAATATTTATCAAATTTTTAATATTTTTGTTTTTGTGTTTTGAGCGATATTTTTGCCGTGAATGCACTAATTTCACCATTATTTTTCTCGATTTCATAGCCAAAACTTTGTCTTATAACCTCTATCATTTGTAGAGATATCAAATTTAATAATGTTTTCTTCACAAGAGGTATAGAACCTATGTGCTACAAAAATGTTTATAATTTTCTGGCAAGGTCTTAAGAATTTTGGTTTTAAGCATTTAATTTTTCTGTTTCTCTTCTTAATTTATATACTCATTATACTTAACTTTAAANCTTCTTAATTTATATACTCATTATACTTAACTTTAAACCTTATAAATCTTTTGTGAAATATAATTTATTTTCATGATGTTAGAATCATGATTGAAAATAATTATACTTCCATTTTTTTTTGTGAATTTATAATGTATACTTAACCACTTATTGCATTTGTTAAAATATCATAAAGCGAAGTAGGAGTGAGCCGAAGTGACAATTTTTGAGAACTTTTATATTAAATTTAATCCATCTATACAGAGTGGAATATATCTAACTGACAACTCATATAACTTATGATAACATAACATTATATATATATATATATATATATATATATATA